GCATGGAAGGTTCTTTAGTCAAGCTCCCAGAAGTTGTTGCCCTTAAAAAGAAATACAAAGCGTATCTTTACTTGGACGAGGCCCACAGCATTGGTGCCATGGGCCCTCGTGGAAGAGGCGTGACTGATTACTTTGGAGTGGACCCTAATGATGTCGATATCATGATGGGTACATTTACCAAGAGTTTTGGTGCAGCAGGGGGGTACATTGCGGCGTCTGAGGTAAGAGCCCTGGTGGCCCTGCGTAATGTTGGCTTCTCTATGTAACAAAAACAATCAATAGGGGCGGATCCAGAAAGTTCAGAAAGGGGCGGCCGGGACATATGGCATTTATATAGAGACTATTTATATATAGATACTATTTATTTTACCAAGAATTCTCTAAAAATAATACAACATTTCACGGAAGAAATAGTTGTGACTCGTCAGTGGATAGTTCTATTAAAATCTGGATATTGACCTGGGCCCGCTTCCTCGAAAGGTGGTTAAATCTAACCCAGGATTAAGCCAAATATCAAGCACGAACATGCAATTCGAGGTTACAAAATACTGTTGAGTCTTTACTACAAGGTACAGTAATGATAACACAAAATGTTACCCTAAGCAGCGCATTGGACTGTAAAATACAAAAACGGAAAAAACCATAATCCTGGATTAACGCTAATCGGCCTTCCAGGAACCGGGTCCCGATTGCTCAAGATGAGGTCGCTTTAGGTTTCAGGGTACCCAACGACAATTTTTGGAAAAAATCTGTTCGGAACTGACGATTTGAGGTCTAGAATTTTCGGAACATTTGTTGTTAAATTTCTTTTTTGCCTACCTCTCCTAGGATTTTCGAACCCCCCAAAATGGTATAATTGCCCATTTTTATCGGGATTTTTACCGTAAAAAGGTCACCTAGAATTTTTGGGAGCCTTTTTTCTGGCTGAAATTTTCGAAAAGGTAAGTTGTGATCCCTATACTTTTCAGATCACTAGACTTTCAGCTAGGAAATTCGAACAGATGAAAAATTTTTAGGGGATAAAAACATGCCTATATCTACCGTTTATATACTAAAATACGTTCAATAGGCTATGTTTAAGTAGTTTTGAACTATATTCTCGTTGTGTGCCCCTGAGGTGTGGTCGTATGTAACGGTTTTGCCACGACGTTACCGGCTGAAAGGTGTGCTTTTGATCCGTTAGTTGGACTCTTTCCTCTTCAATTGTAATCTCGGTCGCGGGCAGTATATATAGTTGGTTGATATAGTTGCATTTAGTTTATAATTATTGCTGTTTACTATTTTCTGATGCCCCAATGTTTACTTTTTTGAATATTTTTATTTTATCGCAACAACCAAGCGTCCCCCTCGAGTCTGTTTTTGTTTTTAAATTGTTCAACTCCTTTCTTACCACCAGCATATGATAACTCTTTTGTACTAGGACATAATAAACCATATCCGTGGAAAATCCCATAGTGCTACATATGCATCCTTCATGTCCCCACCGGTGGCGATGCAAATTATAAAGTCAATGAAAATTATCATGGGAGAGGACGGAACGAATAGAGGTATGTAGATCCTTCCATGCAGCCTAAATACTGTTTATATAATGACGTTCATTCCAGTTAAATTCTGGATTTGAATACAGAGCACTTAGCCTACGAGCAAGCTCTCCATTTAGGGGAGTCTGCCCGTTGCGAGTCTTGCCCTTGCTCACTCGCGCGTTCTCTCGCGACTTGCTTCGCTTGCCATAAATGGAGAGCTTGCTACTGTAGCAGGCTACAGAGCACTGGAATCGATAATCAGCCTCAATCGAGCTTAGTGCTGTTCCTTCTGTAGCCTGAGAAAAGAACCGACACTTCGCGACGCCACCAAGGTTGTTTTCCCGCCAAATGACGTCAGAGGAACGCACGCCGAAATTCCATAATGATGACGTGTCACTACCCGGGTCTGGGGAGTGCATCTGATTGGTTGAAGAGCAATTTCCCTCGCTGCACGACCAATCAGAAGAACTTGCCCAGATCTTGGTTGTGACACGTCATCAGTATGAAATTTCTGCAGTCGTTTAATTGTCAGACGTCGTTTTTGCATTTCGCGGGGAAAACACTTTACCAGCGTCACAAAATGTAAGCTGTTTTTTTAGGCCATCCCTTCTGCTTCTTGAATGTTGATTGAGACGAGTGTCCATTTTTGTTCTGTTTACGTACGTTTAAAGGATAATTGTTGCTATGAACTTTTTTGTTTTTCAATCACAGGTAGACAAAGGATTATGGCCCTGGCAGAGAATAGCAGGTAAGCAAATGACATGAAAATTTGGATAAAATTTCGTGGTAAACATTGAGAACTAACTCTACCAAAATCCTTATATATTGGAAACTAGATTACTTAACTTGCTCAAGATATTTAGCCATTAAAGGTGACTAACTAAGGGACTCTTCTTTCATCTCTGCGAGCAAAATTTCTCTCGTTAAATTAAAACAATTTCGAAGTTAGACTAAGTAAGATTTTGTTTTATGTATTTATTTTGCACCACCACTTCTTACGTAAGATTAAAGCATTACATTCAATTTGAGATAACATTCATAGTACCATAATTACAACACAAGATATAGTCTTAATCTTGAATAACAATATTCATAAAATTGGTTGATCAGTTTAGGATTCTGGGAAACTGCCCACCTACCCCTCCCCTAGGTAATATAGAAGGATCAAAACATGTACAGTGAGTGGTCAGAAGACCGTCAGAAGGCCAAAGTTTTCCGGTACAAGAAGGTCCCACCATGATTTGGTCATTGATTGAAATATATATTTAAGACTACAGGGGGCAAAAAATACAAGGGGTGTAGGATGGTAAATACGAGATTCTGCGAGACTGAGAGACCCTGGTTTCAAAATTCGAGACCCAGACTTCTGCTTTTTTAACAATTCCGAGCCCGAGACTCTAAGCGCCCAAACATCCGAGATAATAGTAGAAAAATAGCTATCGGAAGCCCACCAATATACTGCTTTGTCTTATTTTACTGCAGGTTTTAATGTACCACCTCAGTTCGATAAGCTGTATAGTACTCGTGAACTCTGAAAAATTCGACTTCTGAAGGCCAATTAGCAAACGGAAAGAAAATTGACAAAACTGAGACCTGTCGGCAAGAAAAAAATTCGAGGCTCGGAGACGCAAAAATCATCAGAAAACGAGACTTCGAGACCTAGGAAAAAGCTTCCGAGATTTCAAGATGGGGCCAAAATTCTGCGAGACCCATGTTTTTCGAGATACCATTCTATCAGACCCTAATAATACACTTTCGGCAGTTTCAGGCACTGCAAAAAAAGTCGAGTAGGCTCAACTAAAAATATTGAGTAAAACGTTGAATCCACAATGACTACACATATTGAGTAAAATGAAGTGTCAGTCATGAGTAAACCATACTCAATAACGGGAGTAAAAATTACTCACGTTTGAGTGCAATAACCCAAACAAGAGTAAATCCCACTCAATGCTCTGAGTACACATTACTCATCTGTGAGTAAACCCAACTCAATATAATGATTAACCTGGCTCAAGCAAAGTGAATCCACAGTAACGCATTATTTTGAGTAAACGGACAGTTTACTCAATGCGTGAGTAAAATACACGCAACATATAATGTAAAAAAACACACAAGAATCATATCCCAGTTCTCATTTTAATGCATAGAACTGCTATTTATAATATAGTGGAGAAGTAACAACTACACAAATCCGTATCCACCTGTATAATAAATATTTTATTATTATTTAAAAAATATGTTCCTTAAATCTGATTAAATGCAAAATCATAGGTTTTGATTCAAAACAGTAATAATAATTAAGATTTTGTAATAATGCACATATCAAATATAGTCCTGGAAACGGGTTCACTTAAGTACTTAAAGAAGCAACAACCCCTACACCTCTGATATATACCAACCAAGTCATATGTAACTCGATTTATAGAACTTATGTGCCAAAATAAAGATGTCTAATTATCAACCTTTCACATTGTTTAAAATGTTAATAGATATTTCAGCAACATGCAAAGCAAGTAGTGTCCAATAGCTGGGGCTAGTAGACTTTGCTATTGGGCAGGTGAATTAACTCACCCGACGGGCAAGTTAAGTTACTTTTTGCGGAAATCAAATTAACTAAGACTGTGTATTAATCCTCCTAATAAGCAGGATTAATACACAGTCTCATATATCAAAACGATTTTGAGGCTAGTTGACATAAATATTTTGAACAATATACCTCGCAAGAATCTAGCAAAAAATTCATTTTAATCTCTATGGCAGTAGATCCATGTTTGAATCTACTGGCCTGTCTGCTGTATTACAATGTAGAAAAATCAAGTTATTAATTTTATCGGTTGACTTGAAATAAGTGCTACCCTACCCAAGGTATTGTAATGCTTTCACTGTATGATATGTATAGGTAATAGCATGATTTGTAGTGATATTCGGCATAAATAGCTCGAGTGATATTTCAAAATTGTTAAACGTAATTTCACGAGCTGTTAGGCGAGTGAAATTTGAGACAATTTAGAAATGTCACGAGTGGTATTTATGCCAAATATCACCTACAAATCATGCTATTATTTGTTTATACTACTACCTGCAAAAGGTTTGTAATTTTCACATGTAGGTATTTCAAATTAAGCTGAAATACCACTGCTCTAAGCCAATCAAATTGCAGAAATTTCTCAAGTAGTAGTATAAGTGTAGGTAATGGCATGATTCGTAGTGATATTCGGCATAAATAGCTCGAGTGATATTTCAAAATTGTTCAACGTAATTTCACGAGCCGTTAGGCGAGTGGAATTTGGGACAATTTTGAGGTATCACGAGTGGTATTTATTCCAAATATCACGTACAAATCATGCTATTATTTGTTTATACTACTACCCGCAAAAGGTTTGTAATTTTCACACGTAGGTATTTCAAATTAAGCTGAAATACCACTGCTCTAAGCCATCAAATTGCAGAAATTTCTCATGTAGTAGTATAACATGGTTAATTACACTTTGATAGGCTATCAAGGTCATTCACTAAACTGATGACAGAGCCTGGAAGCTTCTGTGCATCATTAATGTGCAGAACACACTTTTGTAAATACAAAAATAAATTTTTCAACCCAACAGGGTAATTGAACATAAAAACATAGTAACTGGCGAGCAATCCACATGCTGCCTCCACAAGGCTGCCAGTAAAAGAGCATAACAACTGCTTGTCAGCTGCTAAATGAATTTGCCCAGGTGAATCAAGGCTGCCTTCAAAAATGATAAAAGGAAAAGAACTTTGAAGAGCCACACTTTTTGCTGTTGTGCTATTCACATCCTAAAAAAGAAAACAAATCAGTTGGTTATGATTTCATCTTCAAAAGCCACTGTTATAAATCACAAGTTTCCATTATAATGGAAAAGCCAATTAAAAAGGATCAGTACGTTCATGGAAGACACAAAATTAGACAACTAAAGCATTTGCAGCGTTGACAAAGCCCAGGATTGTGTTTAATGCAGCACACTAATAGAAATGCTCCTTAAGCATAGTCAGTACATTCTAAAATAATATGAAGCGTGTGAGAAAAGTGATGATAAAGATGATAGTAATGATGATGATAATGATGATAATAACAACTAGTAGTAACTGAAAATTAGGGAAGTGCATCCACAGTCAGATAAGGGTTATGTTTGTGCAAAAGAGGCTTAACTATCTATTGCTAAACATAGATACCAGTTCCGCGCGAAAAAATGACCCTGAAATATCTGTTGGGCTAATAATAGTGAGTCTGATATAGAAAAAAGTTCCATGAGAGAACGTGGATTCCAACTGCACCCTTTGGACACAAATGATGATGATGATGATGATGATAGTAATAGTAGTAAGAAAAATAATGAAGATCGAGGAGGGTGTTATCCATCAAGGCCGTAGGCCAAGGCAGATAGCACCCTCCGAGATCTCCATAATTCTTCATAAGGTACTCAGCCTCATTCATTAATTGTTAATTAAGTAATGTTCATCCATATAATTAGAATTTATCAACTTGAATCTGATGCTCGCTATAAACATGATATTAAATCTGTCATAAAATCGTATACTACTTACAGCAATAAAGTGAACAAAGTCCTGCTGCTGAGACTGTCCTCCTTTAGATGTCTGTTTAAGCAAAAATGGAAGGACTACCATGGCAACCTCTTCTTTTTCCTCTGAGAAAAAATAATGATAAAAAAGACGTTAATTTTATTCAGTCAGCATTTGAAACAAAGGAGTGTCACCAGCTGGGGCATAAAAATAATAAATTTCATTGTGACAATTATTGTCACAATATCATTTTTTTTATCTTCATGAAGTAAATGCCAATGAAAGCACCATGAGCCTCCCTTTTGCATCATCAATTTTGTGTAATGCTAAAAAAAGTTTTTTGGCATGCAGGAAGGCCCACCTATTCAAGGGGGTACTAATGTGAGAGTTTACAGTATTTTAGTAAGCATAATATTATTACAATCATTTTAAGATTCATACCTGTCAAGTTTTCAGTTTCATCGTCATCATTAAACTCTCCCTCCAAGAGTTGGAGGTACTGCTCCATTCCCAAACAGTTTTTCCTGCCCTTTCTAGCTCTTCCTAATTCAATTATTTGGTCAGCAACTTGACTCAAGTTAGACTGAAACGTGTCCAGAATGCTTGTATTTATGCCTAATATCCTCTCAAATTCAGTGACAATCTGAAATCACAAAAGATAAAGCAGTCCTGCTACAGTGAGGAGCTTAAAAAAAGTATTATCAAATATCAATATTATTCTACCAGCCCGTTTCCATAGCAAATAAAGGGAACATCAGTTATGGAATTAGTGTGTAGAGAGTTACCCAGCTAGGAAGTTCTTTTGGATCTTCTTCTGCTCTCTCTCTTATGAAAGTAGTCGGGAATAAATGCTCATAGTAGCCTGGGGAGGGGGAATTGCCTAGCCACCGGTGCTGTGTGACATTCCCTGATCAGTAAGAGAAACTTAATTTTAAAAAAAAGAACATAATACCTGTTTGAAATCAAATAAAGCAGGGTATTCTGCTCTCACTTCTGTTAGGGGCACATTCTTGTTCATTAGCCTCCGTCTGTCTGGGAAGGTAAGACTCATGCGCTCTGCCACTCTCTTCAGATCAGGCGTTCTTCGCATGCACTCATTCTGCAGCCACTCTTTATGCCGCTTCAAGGATACCTCATCTTCTCCCTCTGGAAAAGGTGGCTCCCAATTGATCCCACCCCTTCTCAACTTCAGTGCCACAGGCTGCACTTCTGACCCCTTAGTTTTTCTCCTTTTGTGGAGAATTACTTCAGGGTCATCAGTTATACCTTTCCGTTCGTTTCTGAATTTGTCATAGAGCTGGGCAAACCAGGAATCCTAAAATTCAAATACAAACATTTTTGCATTATAACCATTTTCTGAAGTTCAGGACTAGGTGTTTTAATTGTCAGGGTGGGGGTTTATAGTGGACTTCTAAACTTGCTAAGAAAGCAGAGTGGAACCCTGCCTTCTGGCGACCGCTGTACTTGGTGTGACATGGTCACACTGATGACTTAAGGTTACCGTGTTCATTGAGCTCTGTAATTTACTAATCAAACTAGCAATTTGTGTTTAATTCTTTCATCAAAGGGATTACCCAAGCTCAAAGCCATTTGCTGGTATCCAGAAGAAGCCAGTGGAAGGTGACCCTTTTTTTTTCAAAACTTGAACAATATTATACAGTGATGTTCATGTGGAAAATTGAGAGAAAAGAAATTGAATTGAATTGAAAAGTCAGAGAGATCAGCATGTCCATTTTCAGAATCACAGTAAGCTGAACTGATTCTTACTTTGCTCTCAAACAACAGTACACTGTAAATGTATTGTGGGGTTTAAAAGTCAAATTTTAATGTAGTCAAATTGTCTTTTGTAATCAGTGAGGTTTTAAGTGTTTTTTACAGTAAAATTATCACTCTATGAATATCTACATAATTTTCAGTTGCTCTACATCTGTATATTGAAGAGAACAGCTGTTCAAAGTGCAAAAAAAGGTGCTAAGTCATGATCTTTGCCCCTTCCCAGTAATACCCATTAAATGGTTTCTGTCTTATCAGAGTTCCACTGTATCATAATTCAGTAGAATTATTAAACAATAATTTCGGTTCAATAACTTCCAAACTGTTCTGGGTACTCAAGGAAGGATATTTTTAATGCCGGAAATGCGTTTATGTAAACTTACATATCCAGTCCCAACAGATGTGTCCTTAAGGAAAGGAAATGTCTTAATTATAAGCTGGGAAATTTCCAGCAGCTGCTGTTTTGTAGGATATCTGGAAAAAAAAAAATTTAAAGGCATGTGAGAAAATTAAGCAAATGGCTTCTCTTTGTCCTAAATGTGCATCACTTATCCTCATTTTTGACCTGCCGCACTCATAGTGTATGCGTAACAGATTGAGTATGTGTTACAGGTCAAATTTGATTTCAGGTTAAATATTTTTAACCTTGGTTGATTCTCATTTTACTTTTTTTCCTAACCTATTTACTCATGAATTAGAAACAAAGGAAATTGAAAATCAACCTAGGTTAAATGAAAATTAACCTGAAATCAAATTTGACCTGTAACATGATACGCATGGCAGATTCAATAAATTTTCAATAATAATTATTGTATCAATGGACTCTATGGGGGTATGCTTGCCCTGGCTTGGCTGTAATCAAAAGTGGGAGGAGATCAATGTAGAATTTATGGTAAATAGCAAGTGTACACTTACTCAAACTTCCCGAGATTGCTAATCAAATAAATCTACTGGATACTGAACTCCACTGTATCATTATCTACTTACAGGGTATATCTTGAGAAATGTTCATAAATTCTTGAAACAAAGCTTTTTCTTAGCTTTCTCGTCAACTTTGTTCTGTCTTTGTCCTGCAACAGCTTTGTCACCTCTGGTCTATACGAAGTGGGCAAATCTATAGTTGCAGGCCAAGGCAGTTTAGCATTAAGTACAATAGTTCCAGTGTCTGTTTGAGCTGCACTGACACATGGCCGCTTCCTTAAAAAGGAATAGGAGAATACAAGTCAACTCTACATTTGTTTTCAAAATTTATTTTGGACAACGGACTTAAATGATAGTAAAGCACATGTCAAAAAAAAGCGTGACTATAAAAGTACTGCTAAATGTCTACTAAAAACGGTCAGACATTATGTAGTGGCCAGTAAACAAGACCTGTTCAACAAAATTTTCAATGAATCACTGTAATAGTGGCCAAAATATATTTATTTAAAACAGTCACTTGTCCATTTGTATAGGGTGGCCACATAAGAGAGGTTTTGAGTTTACTTACACTTCATAGTTATTTGTACTCAACTGACAGTGAATTCCAAAATTACTATCAAAAATGTACTGCACAACAAATTGAGGAAATGAAGTTCTACAATTATATACCCCTGTTTTTGGTACGTTAACTGAACTTCTCAACAGGAAAATTTAAAATAACACTAAGCAGCTCAGCTGAAGTGCACCTGTTTGAAACAGGCTTCAGACAGTTTCTTGCAAGCTCTTTAAATGGGCGATACTTTGTATACTTATAAATACTTGCAATCACTACCCCAAAGGAATACATGTCACTCAAAATTGATTGAGAATGAGATCCTTCAATGACCTCAGGAGCAATGTGACAGTGCTCTCTGTAGTACATAGCTTTTTCTTCCTCTGTCAGGATTTTCTTTTTTGCCTGAGTAAGTGGACATGCCTTTCCAAAATCAATTAGAATTGGTGAGAAACAGCCTTTAGAATTGCATACAATTACAATATTATCATTCTTAATGTCATTGTGAATAATGTCCTTCCTGTGAATGTAGCTAAGACAGTCACAAAGCTGTGTTAAAATATGAAGCCAGTTCTCTGAACTTTCTATTGAGACCTCAGCCTCTTCTTTGATGACACCTCTTAATGTTACTGGCTTGAAGCTTTCACTACCATAAAATTGTGTGACAATAAAAAAGGGTGCATGGGTGTTGTTCATCCCATATATCAATGGCAGGTTAATATGGCAACACTGTGCTAAAAATGATGCCTCCCTTTCCACCAATTTAGGTGTACTGGAGGAATCAAAATATTTGACAGCTACTGGAGATGACCTAAACTGTTTCAATACCACTGTGCCAAATCTTCCTCTACCAAGTTGAACTGATGGGCCATCAACATCTTCCAGCATAGAAGGATCTATCTTTAAGATTTCTCTATTAGAACCTGGCTCCTTGGTTAACCTTTGCTGAAAACCTCGAAAAACGGACTGAGATGTTTTAATTCTATCCTTTTCTTTTTCAGATGCTCTCCACATCTCAAAGTATTTTTCCTTTATATTTGTCTCCATATTACACTTTTTGGTTAGTGAGTCATTGTCATTTTTGAGTTCTTGGATCAATGTTGTTACTCCTCTTTTCAAAAGCTTTCTTTCTTCTCTTTTTCGCTTGTTGCGGGCCAAACGCTGTCTTCTTTTACTTGCCAGAGAGTGTTTTGATGGCTGTCTCTTTCTGAAATTTATATAGTATAAATTTATCCATGTCCCCTTTAATGAGCAAACTTTTGGTAATATCTACTCAAAAGGGGTGCTGGTAAAAGGTGACGATAAGCACCTTACACAACAACAGTATCTGCACAAAGAAAAATTTATACAAGCCTTAATTATGCCCTTACAGTCCTCACTGACAAGCGTTAAGATACACTTGAGTGAGTTATTGGTTAAAGGCGGCTTATGCCACCCTACTCAACAGCAACTTTACAGGCTGCAGTGTAAAACCATAATTAAGGTGTTCCAAACAAAGGCTAAGTAAAGTATTTTTTTAACTCAAGTTTTGGCTTGCAATAATACAGAGAAGAAGCCTTAAATTTGGAAGCATAAATTAATGTTCCAGAAACTTTGCATTGAATGCCTGCCCCTGTTTAGCACAACTTGCTTTCCCTATATATGCTCTTTTTTCAATTGAAAAAAAGTGCATGCGATCTGCATACATGTTAACTCTATGTGCATACCTTGCATTTTGTGCAGTCTCTGGCTCCCTGCTTTGTGAACTCTCTGCAGCCACATCACCAGCAATGGTGACCACCTGGGTCTCATGATCAGGCTGGTTTGTAGCAGCTGTATGCGTGGTAGAGGCAGCAGCCGTATGCGTGGTAAAGTCGCCTGAAGTTGAATTAGCTTTATTTTGTTTTAAAGTACCCAGCAGCTTAAGGAACTTCATTCTGTGCCCCATGACTGGAATTAGTTCTTCAGCGGCCCTTTCAGTGAGGCATAGGAGTGCTTCACCATCTATAAAGTTCTCTGTGAACACAAAAGCACTTAGACTTAATGAGATTCGCAGTTGAGGGTTTTGAGTGTTGAACTATCTCATACCGCGTTTATGCAAATTAGCCTCTGAGCAAAAGAGAGGGCCGCGAAAACGAACATCAAATCCAATAAATTAGATCACTGTACTTTGATATCGACAGCAGGGCACTGAGGTCCACTGAGGGTTATTTAGGGCACATAAACCTCTTAACGTTAACAATGCATTCCAACGGTTAGGAATGTAAGCTCTTTATTTCTGTCCACTTACCATGAAATTTAGAAGCATATTCACCAAAACCCTTATCGCTCAACCATGACTGAACCTCGTCAATTGATCTCTTATCCATAGCCATTTCTTATCCGATTGTAGGTGAAACACGGGGGAAAGCAAACGATGAACTGTAGTAAAGTCTAACCCAAATAACTTGAACGTGAGCGCGGAAAAGGCCGAATTACTTAACGACAAAGCAATATCATTACCGTTTGGCGCGCTTTTCTGCACAATCTATTGGCTGTAGGTTGCACGTGATGTTTGTTTAAACGTCATGTGAGTGAGGTGCTTCGTGACGAAAACGTGACGTTGCTTGTGTTTCGCGCGAAAATTTGCACGAGTCAGCGATTGATTTAGTTTGCAAACCTTCACAACGTGTGCTTTCATTTAAGCCCTACATGTATTCGTGCACTTTTTGCGCTGGTTTTCTGGGACATTCTTTTAAAAAGCTTCTTCGCCACATAAAGTTTATTCATAGTCACGAGCCAAACTTTTCAATAACGTGCGGTGATTGTGGTCAATCATTTCGTAAATTTAATTCCTTCAAGACTCATATTCGAAGAGAGCAGGCGAAGAAAAAACTTGAGCAACGTTTTATCGTGGAGGAAGCAAGCGACACCGAAGTTGACGAACATCAGGGTTACGAAAGCGATGGTGAGCAAGGCCCTGAAGAAGAACAAAACGCTGATACTCACGTTGGTGATATCACGAAGTTTTTGGCTTTGTTTATTTTGAAAACTAAAGAAGAAAACCAACTTAGCCAGCAGTCCATAGATTCTATACTTGCAAACACGGAGGATGTGGTTGAAACCAGTTTGCAGTATCTAAAAGATAAAATAAGCAGTTGTTTGGCAGACAGTAATATACAAATTGAGGATGTAAATGGGTTGGCTGATGTTTTCAGGGAGCCATGCGTTTTTTCGCGAGCTAAGGAACCTCTGGCAAATGAATACCTGCAGGTCAAGTACTTTCTGGAAAACTTTGATTTAGTGGTAAGAACAAGATCGCATGTTAGCTTTATACTTCGTGTTTTTCTTATGTCACCATGTATGCCATAATGATATTTGCAATCTCCACATTTAGATTTTGCAGTTTCTATTTTGGTGCAAATCGTAGGGAAGATAAGACATTTTTGACTCACGTGCAACCCCGTGTATTTTGGTCACCTTTAGGCATCATGGACCAATTCTATTTTATACATTCTTTATGTTGGGAACTAATATTGTAGCCTTTCTTTAAATTATGAAAGGAGCCGCAGGAGATAGTCTTGAGTCAGCGTGCAGAGTACCGTACTGTAAGAGGACGTCAAAAATTAAGGATTGTCAAGGAAGCATTTCAGTACATCCCAATACTGAAGACTCTACAAGCTTTCCTTAACCATCCAGATGTACTTGCAGAGGTAATTGGTTTAATGCTTTAAGACGTTAAGAGTTTTCTTTTCGAGGCACGAAAAAAATGCTTGTACTGAATGTTATTAAGTTGTAGTAATTAAAATGATACTATTCAGGTAGTACATGTATGTACAGAATTACTCTTTGGGAACAGCTCACATCCTCAGAAAGGTTCTGTCAATCAAGTGAACTCGTTAGTACCAAAGGACCATGGTTTGGCCCCGGTGCTTCAGAGACTAAATAAGCGAGTCAAGTATTACAAATTGGATAATAATAACAACAATTAATTAGTTAATTATTATTCCTAAATGGGGATAACTAATTTATTTAGTGGATTGTGCTATCCAATTTTTTGGCACAAGTTGTTGTGCTGCTCAATAAAAATATGTATATGATTGTATTTTAAACAGCAGTGTTTTTTTGGTAATGTTGTTTAAGGTAAGAAATCCCCACAATAGCATTGATGGACTTTTGAGAGACTTTTGTGATGGTGAAGATTTCAAGAGACATCCTCTTTTTGGACAAGACCCACAGGCACTTATTCTGCACTGCTACTATGACGACTTCCAAGTTACCAATCCTCTTGGATCAAAGACTAGAAAGCACAAAATAGGTACTTACACAATACGTAAAAGAAAATCAATAAAGCTCCAGATAGAAGCTGACTAATATTATTTCTTGACTTTTGTGTCACTGACAAAAGAGACACTATAAAAGAGTTAATTGTGCAGTACTTTTTAAACTAATTTCTTGTATTTTGAAAGCACAACTTGTAGGTCTTGTACTTTAATCAACACATTCTTGTGTCATTTTTTCATCTTATTATGTAAATAATTTTAGTATTACCATTAGATCTGTTTTTAGAAAGTATTTTTGTTTTCTGAACTGTGCTTCACAAAGCTGGGTCTTAGAACAGAACATTTCCTTGACATTTTGTACGTTTTAACATTTTTAATTTCAGCAGTCATTAGTCCTCAACAACAATATATATATTGCTATGTGTCACTCCAGCAGAGCTCGAGGAAAATGCTTGCAGAGTCAAATATGTGAGATAGAAATAAGTGACATTCTTGCACTAATAATACCCACAGGACTTTCTGTTCAACGTGCCAATATTGTGTATATGATACAAGTCGACATTAAATTCAGGTTAAAATTTTTTAACCAAGGTTGATTTGGTCAATTTGCTTTGTTTCCTAGCCCTAATTTTTCATGGATTAGGGCTAGGAGACAAAGGAAATTGAGAATCAACCTAGGCCAAAAAATTTAACTTGAAATCAATTTTGACCTGTAACATATATACTAGTAATGGTGTTTATGCCATTAATTTTGTTGATGTCTGTTTTATAGGGGCGTTCTACTTCAGCCTTGGAAATCTTTGTCCACAGTATCGGTCGGTAATAAACATGATACAACTGGTGGCACTTTGTCCAGTTCCTTACATAAACACATATGGAATGAACAAAATTCTTCAACCGTTTATGAGGGATATAAGTCTTCTTGAGTCTGTAAGTAAAACATTAGTAGTCAACATTATTAAAACATTTTGTCCTGTTTACATGTCAAGTATTATCAACATAATACAAGTCTAAACTAGACAGTAGAAAACACCTGTCTCATTACTTTTATGATCTGCACTTTTTACTGGTTGTGTCCTCCTAACGATGGTAGGAAAATGATATTAGACAGCCAAAACAATGAATTTTGCCACCACACCACTGCATTTAGGCAAATAGATTGTGTATATTTGCATTAACCTATAGATTCGAAGGTCACTTTGTAATTGCTAGCAATAAGTATTGCTAGCACACTGTAGCGATACATAATTATGTATGTTATGGTTCTGTTTTATCTTCTCTTTAATTTTTTCTTTTCTTTTCTCTTGCAATATGGTAAAGTATGATAAGTTTTAAAACAAGAGATAAAAAAATTTAAACCAAGGGTAAAATTGAACCACAACATAACTTATTTGCATAGCTGATGATTATACAGACTTTATTTTATGACAATTACTGTACATAACATTTATCGCCATTTTCAGTAATATTATTGTTTAGTGTAGTGTTTTCAATGATTATACTCATGGAGAATTAACATAATTTTTTCAATTATTGAAAAAATTATTTAAAAATGTTCTTTGCAGGAAGTTGGTGTAAAGTTCAAAATAGATGGGCAAGATAGTGTATTTAAAGGAAGCATTGGGCCTTTAACTTCAGACAACCTTGGGGCACACTGTATTGGTGGATTTATTGAAGGTTTTAACTCTCTGAGAATTTGCAGAGTTTGTATGGGTACAAGCAATGACATTCAAACTAAGGTAGGTCAGGTGTCATTATCTTTGAAAAATAATTTAGTTTCTCCTGTTAGCTGTGAAGTAATATGCATTAATTTATAACACATGTTGTGGTTAAATTTTAGCCTTAATTCTATCAATTCTATTTTCCTTTTCATTATTGTACACTGTAACACCCCAAAACAAAGAAATAATAACATAAAGGAAAACAGTTGTTAAACTGATTCTAATAATTTTATTATATAATGTTTATAACTCTTTCCAACATAAAGTTCACAGAAGAGCAATATCATCTGCGAACAAGAGTAAGCCACAATCGACACTGTCAATTAGTTGAAGATGATGCGACATTATCAACAACTTATGGAGTTAAAAGAACATCGCTTCTTAATCAGTCCCGTTATTTTCACGTGGTGGATGGACTTGACCTTGACATCATGCATGACCAGCTGGAAGGAGTACTTCCCCTTGAGATCAAGCTGTTGCTCCAAGAGTATATTTCAGTGGAGAAGTACCTCTCACTTGACATTCTCAACAGGAGAATAGCTGATTTCGGTTATCCCTTGACAGATGTAAGCAATAAGCCAAGTGCTTTAAAGCAGCAGGCCTTGTCTTCTGATTCTGCCACTTTAAGTCAGTCAGGTACGTTTGAGACATTTTCTTATTCTTGCCTGTCAGTTTTTTATTTTCCCCTCTGACTGACAGAAAATCCCTTTCCAATGGGTAGTAACAACTAGCCCCTCAGCAAAAACATCAAGAAAAAAATTTTTTGGGAATCATAGTCATCATCGATATTAATACCTCTCTGTTTGCATTTTTTAATATTGTTAGCTTCACAGATGTGGTGCCTTTCACGAATGCTACCTATTCTTATTGGTGACCTTGTTCCAGTTGGTGATGAGCATTGGGAAAACTTTCTCCGCCTTCTTCAAATTGAGGAGATCATTTTTGCTCCCAAGACAAGCATTCAGCTGGCAGCATATCTTGCGGTTCTAACTGAGGAGTACCTTACTGGATTCAGTGAACTTTATGATAGGCGAATGATCCCGAAGCAACACTATATGGTTCATTATCCAAGGCAGATTGTAAGGTAAATAAAAGGAGTGAAACATTTTTCAAATATAGATAGAGAAAAAACCGTGATGATGGAGAAACCCATGGGATTTTTCTAATATATGGATTTTTTGTATATGTTACAGGTCAAATGTGATTTCATGTTAACTTTTTTTGGCCTAGGTTGATTCTCAATTTTTGCTTTGTCTCCTAGCCCTAATTCATGAAAAATTAGGGCTAGGAAATCTTGGTTAGGAGTTCTTGTGATTCAGATACATTTCTTACTTACTAAATAGGATGTCACTTTCATTATTGTGTGGTCTACTGCGACAATAAAAACTGAGAATGTAAATGTCTTAATTTTTTGGCAGAAGAGGACCACTTGTGAGGAATTGGGCCATGCGCTTTGAGGCTAAGCACAATTACTTTAAGAAGCTGGTTGAGAGAATTAATAACTTTAAGAATATCAGTTATTCTTTGGCAAGGCGCCATCAAGCCCTCCAAGCATATTTGCTTCAGTCCTCAACAGGAAGCTTCTTACGAATGACCATGGATGTTGGACCAGGTACTTCAACAGAATTGTATTACAGGGCATAAATTTCCATCTAAATTCTATGTGGGACCACAAAATTGGCCAATTGCACTGTACATTGTATACTAACATCTCCGTCTTATGTGCTATCAATTCCCTAGGAAGAAAAACAACTGTTCTTGAAAGTGGTTATTTGGAGCATTTGCAAGAGATATATCCAGAGATAGCCGAAGAAAGCACACTAACAAAGTATGAAAGACAGTCAGTATTTAGTTTTTAAAACTTTCTGTTCTCATGTAATAAAATTTTTGTCCTTAGTATGAAAAATAGATAAATTACTTTTATTTTTATGTAGCAGTAGTCAATATTTGGGTGGAGGGGCAGGCAGTAAGTGCCCTAATTTGGCCTACTGAAAAGTCTTTAAAATTTATACAATAATTGTTATTCCACTATTAATTTTTAGCGGCTTGAACAGGGTGTAATTCTGTACCAGAACCCTTAAACAGGGTGTAGTTTGCAGTGCTTGATCTGTATAAGTGGTACCTAAAATTTCTTTAAAACAATCTAACTCTATGATGTCAAGAATTAATTCTGTATGAAAAATGAAATGAATCAACGCTGTGTGAACTGCCTACCTAAGGCCCAAGCAATTTTCAGTTTAGGAATCATTGTTTTTTAAACTGGGACTTAATGGTTCTGGACTGGGACTAATGATTTTTCACAAGATGAGTCTCAGGACTCGCATTAACTATTTGTAACAAAATTATTGATTATTATTTCTGTTTTTTTTTATATATTTATTTTCTGACAGAACCACTTGGGCAAAAGTTTATGGCACCAAATATAGCAGGGGCTATGCCATCATTGTTGACATTCGGCATGGAATTCCAAGTTTTGGAGAAATAAAGGAAGTCCTCATTTTAGATGGAAGTGAAGTCCTGTTGCAATATACAGCCTTGAGTGTCCTTGAATACGTCACTCATTTAAACGCCTACAAGGTTACACCAGGAAATAAAGTGTCCTACATAAAGCAAGCTGAACTTGTTGATTTCCATCCCCTTGGGAAGTGTAGAGGTTTTGGTTGCTATGCCAGTAATTTCTTTGTGGTCCTAAAATACAGAATTGACTGTTTGCAATAATGCATTTCATTGCATTGCATCGTTTTATATTGTTTTTAATTGAATTGAGTAAGTTAATTGTATTTCTTTTAGGAGTAAACTCATTGTTATGCATAGATCAACAATGTTCACATTAAGCACTGCAGGAGTGGTAAACATCAAGACACTTCAATAAAGTATCCATTTATCTACTCATACATACATAAGTAGTAGTTAAGGCTTTTTTTACGAGTTATGATCCCTGAGTATGTTTTACCTCATGCACAAAAGTAACTTTTCATGTTATTGTTATGGAAGGTTTACTTAATTTGGGTCTGAATGCCTCTTTTTGACTAGCTCAGGTTATGTATCTGTTTGCAGAAATAAAACAACTTACTCAGTACATGCAATCTGAGTGCTTCTTTAACAACTTTTCAATAATGAATTCTGCAATTTTGTTGAAAGTTGTTTCTTTCATCGTTTACTCATGAGTAAGTAGTGTTAACTCAGTTTTTTTGAGTAAACATACTCTTTATACCTTTTACTCAAAAGAACGAGTGTTTTCCACTCTCTATTTTGTGTTTGAGATTCTACTCCTTTTGCGAGTAATTGTACTCAATATACCGAGTAAAATGAGCCAGTTACTCAAAAGTGGGAGTGAGTTTCACTCAATCGAAAAATGGCATTTTTTGCAGTG